TCCGGCAATGGGGTTTCGAAGATGTATGTACTCCGTATACTCTGTGTACTCTGTATACTCTGTACCCTTGAGTACTTCCTTCCTTCAACCAAATACCCCAATCCACACACCCATAAAACGGTTGTTAAATGAAACTAACAAAAAACCCAAATCAGATCAACGCCGCCCTCCCAACCTCAACCCCCGATTCCCCAACCCACAAGCCTATAATCCTAGTCGACGTGCGCGAGCCCGCCGAACTAAAAGGCACAGGCATAATTCCAACTGCGGTGTGCGTGCCGATGGCATCACAGGGAGATGCATGGTATCTCACGCCAGATGAGTTCGAGACGCGGTTCGGATTCGCTAAGCCCGATCCTGTGGAGGGCGAGGGCGAACCCGCGCAGATGGTCTTCTATTGCAAGGCTGGTGTACGGGCTGTGGCGGCGGCGCAGATGGCTGTGCAGGCTGGATATGATCCTGCTAATGTTGGGGTTTATTATGGTAGTTGGTTGGATTGGGAGAGGCATGGAGGGAAGGCTGAGAGGTGGGATGGGGATGATTATTGAGTTAGGTTCGTTTTTTTTTGGTGGTTTACTGAGTACGGTGGTGTGTGGGCTGAGAAGAGGATTGTACATACTACATAATGCTGAATAGGATATTGAAGGATAGATAGATCATCCTGTCTATTCGGATATTCTGAAGCAACCGCTCGATTTAATGCCCTAAAAAAGACCGATCTTCTTACTTTCAAAACTGGTTTGCTCCCGCGCGTTAAAGATAATAAAGATCAACTATGCAGTGGAAAATGTATTCTCTAATGCAAATACTTGAGTACTCTAACAGAAACAAAAGATCTGGTATCGACCAGGCCTTGCTTTTCCTAATCATGTACATGCGATTTCTCTCGCTGTTCATCCATCAAGTCATAGTCATTCATTGTATATTCAAATCGTAATCAAAAATAGAATAACTTTTCCGCTTTTCGATAGCAATTGTCATAGCCTAGTAGATTTCGATTTGTTTCCTCCAAACTGGGCTATGATGGAACCGAAGGCCAGAGGGCCGACGGAGAACAAAGCTCGCCACTTGCTGGCATTTGATCATTAAGTTCGCTCGAGGATAGGTATCGCAAGGCTGGAATGGGTCCGGTGCTGACCGGAAAGAAGCCCCTAAGACCGAATTCAAGGAATATCGAACACGGGCTTGAGCTTCTTGACCAGAGCCCATTCTTCCATGGAGACTTCGGACCGGTAGAACTCCTTGAGGGTGTCGATACTCGCACGCGAGATGTGCGAGATAAGCTGGTCCTTCTCTTCGAGGTGACGACCATACATGGGCTGGTTGGGTTTCTCGACCTTAACAGCAACGGAGGGCTGACCTCTCTTGCAGACAGGGACGGCCTTGTGATCGCGCTCGATGGATGTGCTGTGAAAAAGGTTGAGTTAGATATTAGACAAAAGAAAAAGGAAGGAAAAAGAAAGATGAAGGGGACCAAAACTTACACTCTGCCAATATCGACAATCTCCCTTACACCAGCCGCGTTTGTTCTAATAGCAGACAGAGGGGTGTGGAGACGCAGACTTCCTTCAATGACATCGACACCAATGACAATGGGGTCGGTTTTGTTGAAGACAGCAATGGGCTTGATGACACAGGGGAAGATAGCAAGAAGCTTAGCCTCCTCCTTACGCTGCTCGGTGATCTGAGCCATGTGCTCAGTGAAGTTATCGAACAAGTGGTAAATGATGTCGGCGGTGAAAATCTTGACACCAATTTCGTTGGCGTATGCCGTTGCATCCTTATCGACCTTGACATCGAAGCAGAGCATGACAGCATATTCCTTACTCTTCTCAAGCATGGTACCAGCCATCATGACATCACGCTTGTAAACGGGACCGATGGAGATATTGGCAACAGGAATCTTGGAGACCTTGAGGAACTCCAGGAGAGCCTCCAGCGAACCCAGGGTGGAGGCCTGGACAGTGACACCACGCTGATCAGTTGAGACACGGCTCAGCAGATTCTCCAGATCAGTCATGACCTCCTCCTCAAGATCCTCCTCATCATCGTCGGGGCCGACGACAAGCATGCGAGAACCAGCAATAGCGTGCTCCAAGTCGTTGGCAGCAATCTTAACACCAAGGGCAGCCTTGACCTCCTTGTTGTGAACGTACTGGGACTTCAGACGCAGCTCCTTGAGCGGTGCTGGTGTCAGAAGAGCACGGATATTGGTTGTAATAGGACCGTTGAGACCGCACATTACGACGCGATCACCCTCGCGAAGGATACCGTTGGACAGGACAACGTCAATGGTGGTACCGAGACCCTCAATGACCTTGACCTCCAGAACCGTACACTCGACCTCGGACAAGTACATCAGCGAGTTGGTCATACGCTCTTGACTCAAGCTGGTCAGGAGCTTCAGCATATCAGGGACACCTTCTCCGGTGTGGGCGGAGGTGGGAACGAGAGAGACGTTGCGAGACAGAGACTTGTTCTCGAAGAACAGCTCGGAGTTGAAACCCTGCTCGGCGAAAGCAAGCTTGGTGGCCTCAAGACGGGTGCGGAACTCGTTTTGAACACCCTTGTTCTGCATAGCCAAACTGTCCTCGAAGCCGTTGTTGTCAATCTTCTTCCAGCCGTAGAGACGATCGATCTTGTTCAATGCGACGATGAAAGGAGTCTTGCGGTCACGCAGCAAACGCATAGACTCAAGGGTCTGGGGCTCGAGACCGTGCATGATATCAACAACAAGGATAGCAATGTTGCAAAGGGAGGAACCTCTTGATCGCAAGTTGGAGAAGGACTCGTGACCGGGGGTATCGATAATCAACAGACCGGGAACCTTGAACTCGAACTTGCCATCCTTGTTGACAACATGGGTCTTTGTGCGCAGAGCATCGACAGGGAAGTAAGTGGCACCGATCTGCTGGGTAATACCACCAGCTTCGCCCTCCTGTACGTTGGTCTGTCGGATCTTGTCGAGCAGCTTGGTCTTACCAGTATCGACGTGACCAAGAATACAGCAAATAGGGGATCGGAGATCATCCTTTGAACGAGCGGCCATAGCCTCCTCGTGCTTGAGCTTTCTCCGCTCAGCAGCCTCGGCCTTTCTTGCCAGAATGGCCCTTTGGTTGGCAGACTGCTCCTCATCAGATGAGTCTTCATCCGATGAGTCGTCGGAGTCGGACTCGGATTCTTCTTCTTCTTTCTCCTCCTTTTGGGCGGGTGCCTCCTCAGCGGGCTTCTCTTCCTCATCTGATTCCGCATCCCAGCTGTCCTTGACATCTTCGTCGGCAGCCTGCTCCCAGTCTTCAACGGCATCCTCTTCAGCAGGGGCAGCAGCAACGGCAGCGGCAGCGGCGGCGTCAGCCTTGGCTTTCTCCTCGGCCGCCTTCTTTCGGTCTTCCGCTTCGCGCTGAGCCTGGGCTCGAGCGGCGGCAGCTTCGAGATCGTCTTCCTGCTTCTTGCCAGCCTTCTTCTTCTTGTTCTCATATGTAGGGCGCGCCTTCTTCTCGCCACCCTCCTGCAAGCCAGCAACCTTGCCACCGGCGGCAATCATCTGCTGCAAGCGCAATTCACTGCGCTCCTTGGCCTCGCGCTGAGCCTTGGTGAGAAGCTTGCCTTCCTTGCGGAGCTGCTCTTTCTTTTCGCGCTCCTTCTCCTTCTTGCGCTCACGAGCCTCGGCACGCTTCTTCTCTTCCTCTTCATCGAGAAGCTTTTGCTTGGCCGCGGCAGCCTTCTCTTCCGCTGCAATGCGCTCCTCCTCCTCACGTTGCTGTCGAAGAAGCTCCTGTTGCTTCTGAAGAGCTGCTAGGTGGGGAGGAAGCTTCTTCTTCTTGCCAGTTTCCGGGGCGGGTGCGGCGGCGGCGGCTGCATCTTTCTTGGAGGCCTCGGCGGCGGCAGTCTTGGCTTCGGCCTTTTCTTGAGCAGGGGTGAGCTTCTTCTTTGTGGCAGCCTATGTAAACGAAACAAACACGTTAGTAAATGATTTCGACACCCGCAATAGACTTTCGGTATGGAAGAGAAATGTAGAAACCTACCTGCTCCTTCTTGCGCTGCTTCTCCTTCTCCTTCTTCTCACGCTCCTTCTCCTTCTTACTCTTTACTCGGAACTCGCCCTCGGGCTGCTCTTCCACCGCAGGCTTAACCACCTCCTTGATGGGCTTGGTCTTCTTCCCAGCGAAAACATCGTCATCGTCGAAGTTACCCTCCTCGGGCTGCTTGCTAGCCAGATCGTTGGCATCCTTGGAATCGTTGGCATCCTCGGCATCCTCGCCCTCGACAAAGTCGTTGGTCTTGCCCTTTTTAGCCTTCTTGGCCTTATTCTTTCTCAAAGCAGCCATAAGGCCGCCGACTGGCGCAGCCTCCTCGTTGGTATCTTCTTGGGGCTGCTCATCGGCGGGAGCAGGGGCGGGAGCGGACTCGCCGAGATCGGCCTCCCAGTCCTCCTCCTGTCTCTTGTTTCCCTTCTTCTTGGGCGCCATTGCAATAGATTTCCCTTGGGGAGTTTGTTGACAATCCGATTTGAGAGGTGACCGGGAAAATGTAGCGCACAAACGGAGTTAACCGGTTATTTGCGACTCGTAGTAATACGCACGAGTATTAAAAGAGGGAGGATGACAGAGAAGTCAAAAAAAAGGACGATCCCCAGAATGAAAGGCGAGAGATAGGAGCTCTCTGTAAGGTGGGCCTAGGGAGGGGTGTGGGAAAGGAAAAAGAATTTCGGGAAGAATCATGACCGGTGGGGAACAATGGCATCGGACTTCACTTTCTCAGTCGCCACCACGAACTTGGCTGGATTTTCCCCTATACACATTCTCAATAGTTTTTCTTTCCCCTAGGACATCTTACATAGAATGTGTAATAGTTATTTTATCAATCATTACTACTAACTTTTTCATTTGAGCTATGGTGTAGATAAACTCTTACAAGTCAATTCAAACCTCCAGGGCTATGTACTTCCAAGCTGACCAAGGTCCTCCACACTTCTTCACCCCGGGTTAACCCCCCTGAGATTAAATCTCAATGTGTAGTAGCTTTCGAAGCCAGCTGAAGAGTGCCTGGGTATGGTGAGTATGGACGCCAAGCACATCCTCAACTGCCCCAAAGAACATGTGAACTGTCTCAGGAGTCAGGTCCTTGAACTGACTCCTGTTGCATGCCATGAGAACCTCATCCAGATGTTTCGAGTTGCGACTGGCAAGGCGACCCAGAATGTTGCCGTCGATATGCATGTTGTTCTCGACCTGGGAAATTGCATCAAGGTAGCGATGTCTGCGGGACAGGGAGGGACAGATGACCTCATCCCTAAGGCAGATTTCGAGTAGAAGCCGAAGGAGGTGCCACTCCTTCGCGTCCAGGGGCAAGAGCCGGTAGACAGATCCATTGATACCAAAACCATAAAAGGTCTTGATGGTCGTCAGGGAATCCGGAGACTTGATGCCCCGAGTGAGCTTGATCAAGGAGACGGGGAGATCGGCCATCGGACGAGGTACAAGGTCCCCTGGCTGATCGATGTCTGTGAAAGCCCGGGTAGCTCCACCTCGACTACTCACAAAAAGGACATCCGGTTCAATTCCATACCCGCGCATTAAACTGTGAGACAAACCATCGCGTGCAATTGGGTCGAAACCATGCATCAGGATGTCGCCATCTGCAATCTTGTAAACCAGCAGGGAATGTCTCGAGGTGGTGACGTAGATCATGCTTCCTTGCACTGTCATCGCGACAGCTGGGGATGGAAGGGTAGCTGTAATGTTCCGAACCCATTTTGTTTGAGAGTTTCGCGAGGAGACCGTGAAGAATTTCTTCCCAGAGACAATAATCAAGCTATCGCCGCATGCCGCCATCGCATAAACTGGGTGATCAAACGATTGTGTATGCTTGTCAGTGCAAGTGATCTGCTCGGGATGGTTGGCATCCCGAGACGCTTGTATGAGCATCAACCGACCTTTGCGGTTATTGGGTTTGTGAGGCAGGCTGATTGATGTCCCAATAGCGATAAGATGGTATGCGTTCCCCTCTCGTTGTGGCATCCAGTCGAAAATGCATGTGACTTTCTCACCGGGGACTCCATGCGGTCTCCAGGGGGTAAGGCCGCGACAAACCATGTGTATATCGCTGGGGAACACTGGCGACTGCGTGTCTGGGTCCACAAACTCGATAAATGCCGTGCGGGAAAGATCGAGAGGCCTTCCTTGCTCTCCGACCTGGGCGACAGAATATGTAACGATGAGACTCCGGAGATGATTGGAGTAGGCGAGCTTGCTGGGATTTCCGGGAATGTCGATGCGTCGGGGAACAACCTTTGCCTCTTGTTCCAGAGAGCATATCAAAAGCTGACCATCTGCAAAACAAAACAAGTATGTAGCTGGAACCTCAGACCGGTACTCTCTTACTTCAACAATATCGAAGCTGCTGAGTCTGGTAGGGAAGTATGCAGGCTGACATAAATGTTAGGCCATAGCTCAGAAAGACAAAATGGGATATAACCTACGTGGTTCTGATCTGTAATCCAAACACGAGACAAGAAATAGTCAAAGCCATTGCCATCTGGGGCATATGACACACGCCAGAAATCATCTCCACATGTAAACAACGCAAATTTGTCGTAGGATTTGAGGTTAATTGATGTTTGCCCAAGATCGTGTGGCGCTCTTTGTTTCAAACCTGAAGAGAAAGTATCTGGTTAACGAAAGGGACCAATAAACTGAATTAAGGATGACACACAGTTGAAACCGAAGCCAGGGTCACCGTGATCATCAACGACGTTTGTGTCTATCTCAAACGGAACAAGTGTGCCACTTCGCAGCCCGCAGAAAAGAAATGCGTGAATTCTATCGTCTGAAAGAGTGTGGATAACAGCAAGGCTTTCAATCGTTTTTGCCATATCTTCTGGATTGTCACCGACGTCAATAAGAGTGTCGGCATGTTGTGTGATTCCACCAGTCTCGTTGTAAACTTCGAATGACAGCACTGTGCCATCACTGGTGCCCAGGAAAATAAACCCAATTCCTCCCCAATTCTGGTAGGACACACAGATGGGCTCTTTTTGGAGCGGGTGGGATAGACCCTCATAATTGGACAGGGAGGGGGACTTCCTTCAGTCGTGACTATCCGGAGAAGATGGAGAAAACTTCCCTCTTTACTTCTTGTAGTTATGATAACAGTGGAACTTGGGCCATCCACAATAGCTGCTGTGACAAATGCAAGGGGATCATGTTCAACACAGCTGTTGAGAGTGAAATCAGTAGGGACGAAAAGGTGCACGGCTCTTTCTGTGACACGGACAATAACACCGGAGGGTGTACAGTCCATTGCCAAAGTCTGCTGAATGCCCAAGCCTGAATCGTCCTCAAGGGCTGTAATGCCATCTCTCATGTCGGGAGTCGTACGAAGAAGCAGCGACGAAAGCGGATCGGAGGCCAGCAAATAGATTGAGTCCTTAGCACCGAATGACACCGCCCACATACTACGTATGCTGGACAATTCACCCAATGAGGCAGAAATTCCAATCTGAGCCTCAACGCCGTATCGAAGTTCGGTGATAGCTCCATTGCCTGAAGCAGAGGTTGAGCAGACAAAGAGCCGATCGCAATCATATGGATTTTCTTTGGAGACGGCTGGGGAGTTTGAGGGAATAGTAACTGCATCAGGAACTGGTGCCCAGTTGAGGAATCGCTGAACACATCTGGGGTGATCCCGTGCCTCCTGGACAAACAACCCGCCATCGCCTTGGCTTCCAGCAGCAATAATGAAGTCGCCACCTTCATGGCCCATATCAAGAATATCAAATGCCGTATCAACATCGCAGTGGAGTTGACCTAGAGAAGTCTGGGTTTCGAGTTCCCCATCGTTACCGAACTCAAGGTAATAGATCCAGCCTTTCTCTTGACATAGAAAGATTCCATCGTATCTCTGACTGTACATCCAGTTCCGCGAAGGTCTGGCCCAGCGAGTCCACAGTCCAGCTTCGGATGATTCTGCGTCAGGAATGATCGATGGGTATCGCATTGGACGAGACGAGCAATTTGGTGTATACATTGCCATGGAATTTGTGGTAATCAGGAGGTAGGACGATTCTTTGGCCAAAGGGATGACCATACTAGGCAAATGGTCTTGCCGAGGCAGAGTAGTCGAGGAAAGTTTCGGATCCATGCGGTTGAGCATACTGGTTTCATTCCATTCAAACACAATTGACCGTGTTATGCCAATGTTATGGACAATAAGCAGTAGAATAGTCCGTTTGTCATGATTGTCTTTCGGGTAAAGGAATTCCATAAACAGGATATCGCCATCCACTTGCAAGAAAGTTTCCTGTCCAAAAACTATTAATATCGTGCACACGTAGATAAAATAATAGTGAGCACATACACTTTCAAGTGGGTTTAGCTTTCCCTGAGCCATCTGCCTCTGGAGTTCGCCAGGAGATTTCAACCACAAGACACCAAAGAAATTGCGTGACGCGCTGACTGCGACCGCACGCGATCTGGGTGATGGTATAAGCATTCGTGTATCCAATTGAGTTAGCGATAGGTGATACTTACTTAGGATCAACAGCTATGTGCCTGCCATACTTGTCGGCTATGTTGACATCGCGGGGCAGAGGTCGATTGTAGGAAACAAATGGACCATCTCCCATCTCCGAGTAATACATGAAAAGGAGCTCATTTGAGTCCGTAGCAAGAAAAAGAATGTGAGGGGGTAAATGATCAGTGTCGTAAGAGTTGTAGGAGTGACCCAACAAACTTGATGGAGCCCCAGTTCCCCAAGGCAACTGGGTGCTTACATTGATGACCTTTGCCCCAATAAGCGAGCCTTCTAGGTCAGATTTTTCGACAACGTCTTGAAGATGACCACTGGGCAGGGCTTCTTTGATTTGAATTCGCCGCTCTCCAATGAAAACCACATCGTTGTGGTCTTTATTGCGAAGACGCGCTGGAAGGATCCAGTTGATGACAGGGCTGGGGATCAATGGCTGGGTAAGCAGTCCAGTCATACGCATCGAATGCGTGATGGGCTGGTTGCCAGACATTGCGGTAATTGGGTAGGTTTCACAAGAAACCGAAAACAGAGTAGAGCAAACGAGGAAATGATGCTGAAATCAAAGGTGTGAAGCAGGGTAGAGGGATGTGAAGAAGCTCGAAGGGAGAGATGAAAGACGAAAATAAAAGGTAGAAGGCGGAGCTGTAAGTGAATGAGTTGGGAGGAAAGTATGTAGGTAATAGGCAATATCAAGAGCCGGCTAGGCAATGGCCTGAGGCGCAAGCCCCAAGATCTGATTCCACTGCACCACACTTCCTATGACTTTCTGTATTCAAGAAACTGGGAGGATTTGATATTTGTGAGATCCACTTGTCTTCATACTTCATAAGGGTGGAATATGGAAATGCGATTGATGCATTGACTGCCAAATGCGATATTTGGCTGTGAATTGATGTATTATGCACAACCCGACCCTAACGAGAGTACACAAGGTTGGTTGTCAATGATTCCACAGTCCAGTATGTCCCAGACAAGCCCTGTGATATCCTTATTAACCAATGTACCCCACACATGAGGAACAAATATCAATGTGAGACTTACAGCTTGCCCGAACGCTATACAGTAGTAACAGCCTTCGAAGATGTGCAAATATCTTCCACAAGCTCCATTGGTTTCTTTCCAGAAAGCCAGTCTTTATCACAGAGCTAAAACTGTCACTAGCAGACGACCCAGAGAGCAAGCCAATTGCGGAGTTATGCAATCACCACCCGTCGGTGAGCTGTCGCAACCCCGGAGACCGCGGACTTCTAAGGGCGCACAGCACGGCACACAGCTATATGCGTCCAAGATCTTGCGACGAATACCGCAAATCTATTAAACCGGAGCGTTGTGCCTAAGCCTAGCACAGGGTGAATGTTGTTATCGGCGAAAACATGTCGCGGCTGCCGATCGCTGCCTAAGGCCACCAAGTGGGACTCCGCCGCCTTCGACTTCAGACTTTCCACGCCTGGGTCTATGTACCTAGAGAATCATCAGTTCACGTTCAAAGAAACTTCAATCATTGAAAACAAAGCCATTTTGTCATATATCTGGCATTGGGTTGCTGGCTTGGATACGCCGTTTCGTTGTCCGGCGAAAAAGCTGAAGCTCCAATCGATCTATATCCGATCGGTCTCTCGATATTGGGCTTAATCCAGAACGCACAACGTGAATTTTGTTCATTCAGGTCGAGAATCAAGCTGAGAAATAACTTCATCTTTTCGTGTGTGTGCAATTTAGCTGCTTGATCCTGTGGGAAGGTGACATATTAGCAGATGAAAGATGGAAGATACCGCAAAAGAACAGGATTATCCTGGCGCTGAGGACATGTCAGAATCCGAAGAATCTCCCGGAAAATTGAAAGGGGAGATAGAAGCAAAACAGATGGCTCAAGCAGAAAAGGCGAGAGCCATCCGCAAAGCATGTGCAATGCGCGACGTGGAAGCTTTAGCTGTGCACGCAACTTCAGCAGGCGGGTTACTCGAAGACGACTTGAGACAGATAGCTTGTGAGTTCAATGCTGTTATGGTCTATATCAGTGCACCTTCAAGTGGACTCAACTAACCGGCGAACAGGGCCTATCTTGCTACGATGCGACGAACAAAGGCAGCAATTTGATATGGTCCCAAGCAATGAACTTTTACGACACGCCGATGAAGAACAGGTAGAACTTGATGTCAACCGGTCGTTCGTCTATTACCCAAAAGGTATATTATTGTATCTCTCTCCGAAAAATGAATTTGGATGTTAATAAAGTCTAGCTCCTGAGGAGGAAATGTTGAAAAAGAAAAAGCAGCTGTCCAATCTCATTACTCAAGTACTAAGAGAATACCCCATGCTTTGTTATTTCCAAGGATATCACGATATAGTTCAAGTTCTTCTCTTGGTACTGGGCGAGAAGCAAGCCTTGCCAGCAGTGGCGCAGATATCTCTTTTCCGCATACGTGACTACATGTTACCATCGTTGTCCCCAGCTGTGAAGCATCTCCATCTCATCCCTGCAATCATTGAGACAACAGATCCCGAGTTAAGACGACACCTTGGCAACATTGAACCATTCTTCGCTCTCGCAGCTACACTGACACTATACGCTCATGATATTCAAGAGTACAGCAACATTTCACGACTTTTCGACTTCCTTTTAGCTCGGGAACCCGTGGTTGCAATCTACCTCTTCGCAGCAATGATCCTGTCTAGGAAAAAAGAGTTGCTTGAAATTCCAGAAGATGAGCCCGAGATGCTTCATTTTACGCTTTCCAAGCTACCTTGCCCACTTGATCTAGACGGGCACATTCTGCATGCGGCGCGGCTCTTTGACGACCACCCGCCAGAATCATTGCCGCTTGGAGCCTGGAAACACATTCCCTGGTGCAGCGTGCTCAAAACTTCAAGAGACCAACATGGAAAGTACACCACATCTTCTGCAGTGTACTTGTTTGAAAAGCAATCTCAACAGATTCGGTTTGAAGAGCGCAGGAAACGGGCTCTGGATTTCTTGTGGAGCCACCGTCGGTCCGTGGGTTCTGTGGCGTTGGCTATTTTGGTTGGAGCCGCATCTTTTTACATTCGCAAAAAGGGACTCGACACCTCAACTTGGTCTTATGTTGGCCGAATTCAAAGGGCAATCCAAAACTGGGTTTAACCTTCAAGGCGATGTATCAGGTATCGTGGATGCTTTGGTGCTATTACATGTGTAAGATAATGAGAAAAAAATTAATAATAGAACCAAGCTTAAATAAAAAGTCCCTATCTTTGAAAATCATAAGTTAGAAACTCACATATAATAAAAATCCAGTCAATTTATAGAAAATGATATGCATTTGATAACTCGTGTATGACACTGGGTAGTGGTACCCACAGTTGTGGCTTGAGCGGTGGCTTTATCTGCGGAAGCTGATGTGTACACCTTAACAACTCCCCTTCCAACAGCTCACCTCAAAACCAACCACAATGGCGAACCGAGGCTACGATGTCGTAGTAGATGTGGATGCAGAGGTAAATGCCCTCGAATGAACAACAAATAATTTCAACTAACAAATCAGCAGGGCGACCTTGGCCACACTGACCTACAAGAAGACCTCGAATTCCACCCCTCCAGTGAGTTCCTCCAAGCAAACCGGCCCAGCCCAGCTCTAACCAAGTGATCCTCCGACACAGACTTTGAAAATGACCAAAGAACTGCCAAAGTCCAAGGCGACTCCGCCCCGTTCCTGGGCGGCGGGCCATCGCGCCAGCGTGACAGGTCCCCTGGCGGTACGCCAACCAAGCACAGCTGGTGGTCGCTGCACTACTACGAGCGGTTTTTCGATGTCGACACGAACGAGGTCTTCCGCCGCTGTGTGGCGACTGTGTACCCGCGCACCAATTTCCTCGATGTGCTAGAAGGCAACGCAGACCTGTACGGGCCGATCTGGATCGCGACCACGGTGGTTGTTATCCTGTTTTTGACGGGCACTATCTCGCAATGGCTGTCGAATAATGACGACAAGCACTTCGAGTATGACTTCACCCTGCTATCGGGCGCGGCTGGTCTGGTCTATGGGTACACGGGTATCTTGCCGATTGCCCTGTGGGGTGCGCTGCGTTGGTTCGGCAGTTCCACGGCTGACCTTATTGAATGCTGGGCTCTGTATGGGTACTCCAATTTGTTTTGGATTGCCGTTGCACTTGTCAGCTGGAGTCCGTTGACTGCGCTTAACTGGGCGCTTGTTGGCGTTGGCTTTGCTTGGAGTGTCTTCTTCCTTCTGCGGAACTTATATCCCGTCTTGAATGCTACTGATGCCAAGGCTAGCAAGATCCTCTTGATCTTGGTTGTTGTGCTACATGCGGCACTGGCTGTTGCTATCAAGGTGCTTTTCTTTGCGTAAGTTGTCCCATTGCCTGATATATGGATTGACATTGAACTGACATATCTACTAGCCACGGGAGCCCCGTCTCAAAGAAGAACAAGGACAAGGACCAAGACGATAAGAAGACTGACGACAACAAAGGGATGATGTTCCGGGCATAAGCGGGGGAAAGAAGGATCATTGGCTTTCATCTGGAATACTGGCCATTCCGTCGATTCCTTGCTCAGGTAGCAGGGTTCGCAACTCAAGGTTTCTAGTCGGGTTATTGAATGCATGCATGTATTGTACTCTGTATTTATCGCAGATGGAATTTGGAGATGTGAAACAATTCGACTTTTTGAATTTTACACATTTCATTTCATGGAGTGCAACTTGGTCGTCGAAGAGGAGCCAACTAGAAAAAGTATGACTGTGGCTGCATTGATTTTATCATCATATCTAACGCCATTTGTAATCCTCTCCATGTAGCAGTCCAGCCAATCCCCATCTCTGGAATCTGCACCACAGCACGCCGAGCACAAGACCGAGGAGCGAATCGTCTATTTGAGCTTCTTCTTGGGGCGGAGCTGGTTGGTGTGCCCGCACTTCTTCTTGCGGCAGTTGGTGGCACGGGGAGGGAGACGAGCCTGTAGAAGGTCCGAGTTAGTACATGTGTTGACGTAATTGATGGCCTTGCCACGAAATGCGGTTTCATGACGATGATCGGGCGCAGGCGGAGAGGCGGGGTAAACGTACGTAGCACTTGCGGCAGATGGCCTTGTCGCAGTTGAACTTGGAGGCAAGGGCCTTGAGGGAAGGCTCAATGATACCACCACGGAGACGCAGGACAAGGTGAAGGGTGGACTCCTGTAACAAGTTGATATCGCATGTTAGCGAATGTTCCACCAAGTTGCAGACCATAGACCATAATGTGAAGCGATGATTCCTCCTCTTGCGTATCCGTGGGCAGAGTCATCTCTGGACAAACAGCATGTCGAACTGATCTGATCTGATCCACTCGAGATACCACAACGCCCCCACTTTTGGTCCAATTCATAAAGGTTTAAGGTCGATCCCTACCTTCTGGATGTTGTAGTCGCTCAGGGTGCGGCCATCCTCGAGCTGCTTTCCGGCGAAGATCAGACGCTGCTGGTCGGGGGGATGCCCTCCTTGTCCTGGATCTTGGTCTTGACGTTGTCGATGGTGTCGCTCGACTCGACATCGAGGGTAATGGTCTTACCCGTCAGGGTCTTGACGAAACTATATCGCACCGTATTAGTCCATATTCATTACTCCTCCATAGGCTTGGATCGTATCGGCGATGGATCGGGATTGTGGTTCGCGATGACATTCGAGGGGTTCATAAAGACCTACATCTGCACTAAAACGGCGCGGAAAAAGACGATGTTAGCTCACTGATTCCATAGCGATGCATAGACGCTGTTGCACGGGGTGTATGGGACGTACTGGTTGCGAGTTTTCGTTGTTGTCGGCTGTCGGTCGCTGTGTTCCAGGCGGAGCTGCCGATTGTCAATTTGAGGATTTCGCTCGCTTAGCAAAGGTGGACCGATCGGGGTACCCTAAGCCCTAGTTGTTACCCATTTCCGCTATACATTATGTCAGCAACCCCGGCCGACCCGGCCAATGATAACTTGGCAGCGCATCTACATACGTCAGGTATAGTAACTAGATAGCCCTGGAGATGGTCTACTAAAAATAAATGAGCGTCTTTTCTGCCTTTGATAGGTATATCCTGATCAAATACAACGAATATTCCGAACTGAGATCAGCCGGAAATATCAATACACCAAGAGAAGGCAACAATCGTCCATAGTAGCCTTAGGAAATCAAATAGTTAATTGAACTGATAGATAAAAGGTTGTACAAAGGTGAACGCCAGACACATGATCCCAAATCCCCAACGCCATGCATATGATACAACAGACTTTCCCATCGACTCCTAGATGGTCGACCACATCCTTGAATTGGATATGAAATCATCGTCGTCCATATCTTCGGACTCCGCATCGTACATGTCCTCTTCAAAATCAGCAATTCCATACATCTTGTCAACATCGCTTTCGTCGGTGTCCATTCCTTCTGCGCCTAGACTAGCGAAGTATTCTCTGTTCTGTCGCTCTTCATCTTGCTGGGCGATCCTAAATTCAACAACTGTGACAGCACGGACAAGAGTTTTCAATGGGACTGCAGCAAGCTGTGCTGCTAGCTCGTAAAAGGTCCGCGCGGGACCACTAAGATGTGATTCCCATCGATACCGGTGATACCACTCGCCAGGACGCCTATGATCGGTCTCTTCATCGTCAGGGATGACCCTTCTGGTTCTAAGGGTTTGCATGACTGTTTGTAGCAAGAGGTCAAGCTTGTCCCCAGTCGTGTTAGGAGGGGGAGGGGCAGAAGTAGAGGGTGATTCTGGGGCAAGGGGGGCAAGAGGAGGGGCTGGATCAACTGCAACAGAAGTAGAAGATGGTTCCGGGGCAGCGGTAGAGGGTGGTTGGATATCTTGTTCTGCTCGGCTGATGGGAAACATTTCGGCGATGCGATTGGGTTCCTTAGAAGTATCCAGCCAACTGCTTTCGTACCAGTCCATGTAATGGTCCAACTGGGCAGACGTCATATTCAATACATCTTGATCTGTGATCTGAACGGCAGCCTTTTTTCCAATCTTTCCCCCAAACGGTTGATCATGATCGAAATTGTTCTGGGCACGTGCCCAGAGGGTCCAGTCCATGACCTGTGCAGCGGGCTCTTTAGCTGTAGTGGGATACCTTTTCAAATCATCGATAGGGAAAAGTAGTTTCGTAGAGATGACGATTAGCACTATCAATTGCAGGTCGGGAAGAAAAAGGGTTGTTTTTCGGCCATCGTATGAACTTGGCCTCGGATATTGGAATGTGAAGCCTAGTAGATCTTGCAAAATCCTAGTTGCTTCATATATCTCAACTAAAACTTGTTAGCTAAGATAAACTGGACCACCACGAGGCAACTATTTCTCATACTTGGTAAAGCTAATCTCTTGATGAGTCGGAAAAGAACCATGGGCGAATTCAATGGAGGAAGGTCCAATTCAAACCGTCGCTGATAGAATAGCGCTAGTGCCATGATACCGCGGTGGAAACGATCGGGATTAGGTATTGTCTTTGTCAAAGTTAGTCCAAGGACAACCCAGAAAGTGTTCCGGAGTCAGACAACACTCACATTGACTTCCAGGATCGCAGTCAGTTCTGGCGGAAGCCTATCCTTCATTTCCCGAGGGACGGTCGCTAAGACTCGGGCGTAAGGGATCTCCTGTCGCATGATCATACTATAGAATGTGAGTATTGCCCATTCTAGGAGAAAACGACCGGGCTTGCATATAGGAAACAATACACATACTCGTGAAAATCAATGACACAGACAGGAAGCCGCATCAAAAATGCTGCGAGATAACACAGTGCAACAGAATCAATCAGACGAGGCCATTCAAGATATCTCGAGTTTGGTTTAAACCCATCGCGAGATTCATCTTTCCCTGCGGGCTGTGAGCTGAACAGCTCAGATTCGGTATCATCATCGTCATCTCCAGTTGCATCAGTGATTCTTGATTCAAAATCTTGCAGACGAAGAGCCCAGAGATCGCGAACAACAACCTAATATACGATGAGCTTTGATGCTTAGAACATATAAAGCAACATGTGGACATACCTCAAGTTCCTCTGGGAAACCGTGATCATGAACCAAGATATGACATTGTTTCCAAAGGATGAGCTGGTAGGTTTGCAAGAATAGCGTGTACGCCGGACGGCCACGAAGTGCTTTGGACAAAAAGTTAGCAACGAGAACGATGTTCAAACTGCTGATTACATACTCTTGCTGGCCTTCTCCCTGGTTTCTCTCTTCAGGCGATGTGTTTTGCCTAGGTTACCAAAATCGGCATCTTCTGCGACTTGGACACCCTGCGCAATCACATTAGCCGTGTACTTGAGAAAATTGATGGCGATAGGATAAGGTTAGGAAAGCCGTTGGACGCCATACCTCCTGCAAATGACCGCGCCGACAATACCAAAGCCCATTGTCGAGATAGTATCGGGTCTCACGGCAACCTTCTTGACCGCAGACCCCTCGGGTAACGTAGTCCATCCCCAAGGAATTTGTTCATGCTTGTTTGAAACAGAAGGGTTGGTATACCGAAATGGCGGGACTTTTTTTTCTGCCGTGACCGCCGATTTTGTGCTCCACATGTCCAATGCGCTGTGATTGATCCGTGGACTATCTCAGACGATTAAATTGTCAGGTTTTTGTTGCGGTTTTTGTTGCGATTTTTGTTGCAGGTACTTATGTACTTTTTATTATTGTTATTTTGTTTTCTGAGGTTACACTTGTGTATATATTGTGGTTTGAGGGGAGGGGGGTGCCTTTCGTCTACGTTATAATTACTGGAAACCCATCAAGAAGTCAAGCAAGATTGAGTATTTATTCATTCATCACACTATCATGAGATGCTGAGACTCAGAACTGTTCGGACAACACATATTATGCCAACCAGAGCAATTCTCGGTCCAGCCCACATCCAAGGTTATGCGGGGGACAGATCTTGAAGCAATAAGCATAATCGTTACAAAGAATCGTATCCTCCTTTGGAGCCATGAAGATAAATTTTTTTTTGGCGGGCTTTGAGCCCTCGTGGAACATCAAGGTTGGCATAACAGGTAATAAATCCAAATATTAAATTTATTTAGGGGCCTCCTTGCACTCCATGGCGGCCTCCTCGCCCATGGCAGTAAGGACAACGATGTCTTAATTGGCGCTATGTCAGCAAAAGTTCCCTAGGGAGTTTGGATATTGGTCTAACTTACTGCAATCCTTCTCATCGGTAAGGAACATCTGCTTGATCTTGTCACCAACTTCGTTGTCGGGGATCTTGACATCATCCTTGGTGTCACCGCTGTCGGTCATGAGGGACATGAAGCCATCCTCGGTGATATCGAGCTAAATTTCGTCAACAAAACTGCCCGAAATTTCAAGTCATCAGGGAAACTCACGAGCTGGTACTCCTTGCGGTTAACGTGGGGGACATCCATGTTGTGGGTGGAGGGAGAGAGATCCTCAAGCTTCTTGCCGGTGAAGATATCGGTGGCGATCAAGTGAACCTTGGCGTGACCGTGCTTTCCAGTCTTGGAGGTAGACATGTCAATGATCTTGCAAGGGCGGTCCTTGATCACAACGTGGCCGTTCTTGCGCAGAGCAGAACACTGCATGGGGAAGGTGAGCGAAGCTCCGGCATCAGCCGATTCGAAAGTGACATCGTGCTGTAGTGAATCATGTTAGCAAGCGCTTGAAAAATTGCCAATATGGCGGGGTCAAGTGTCTAGGATGGCCTCGTGCCCTAGAGAAGACGAAGAGGAGGGGAGCCGCATGCGGGGCTGGGACAGAAACCCTCAATAAAGCCATTGGGGAATCTCGAATTTGTGAAAGAAAGTACATACCTCCTCGGCAGACATGGTGAAGTGATTTGGAGGGGTTGAAAGAGGAGGGGTTTTCAAAGAATTTGGGGAGGGGAAAAATGAAGAGAAGGGGAGAGAGAAAATCAAACGAGCTAAAATCTATCGTGGGCGGCGACGCTGTGGCGGGGTCACTTACTGGATTCTGATTGGTTCTTGAGGGTTGTCCACCTTGTTGGGTTTAGTGTATATAGGAGGAGTGTCCGAGTGTCCTGAAACAACCTAACAACTACAACTGTTCGACCTTATTCTTGAGGTTACTTGGTGGGTTTTCCGAGTAATACTCTGGATTTCTTCATTTTGTTTTGAACTCCCATGCCGTTCATCCTTTTACATAATGTGGCGCGACCGGATATCAGCCCAGTCAACTCCCTCCGGAGCCAATAGCCGCAATCTTTCTCCTCTACCGCGACGATCATCCTCCCAGCTATCTCCAAGTCCCTACAATAGCCGCCCTGGTGTAACATCTAGAACTTCATCAACATCTCTTCTCGTGACCCCAAACGACTCTACGGCCTCTCTCCCGACTACACGGGCGACCAATGGCTCTCCTTTAAAGCAGACGAGTATTCAACGACCTCGACCGGCCAATGTCCCGGATCCGCTGGAAGTCTTGAATGAAATAATCGGGAAGGAAGCTCAAACAGATAAGCATGTGCCGCAATTATCATCAGTGCCGGAACGACCAGGACAATTGGTGGAAGCCATCCGTTTCGACGGGCTGAGCCTCGAGGACTTTCTGGAAAAGGTGGACCCAACACCAAGGAAAAAGACCCGAGAAAGTGATGTAAACGCGCAAACTGTTCAACAATTTGAACAAGAACGAGATAAGTTCCAAGAGTTACACACATCCATTACTGGATGTGATGAGGTGTCCAAGTCAGTTGAGCTGTACCTGAATGACTTCCAGAATGAACTGGGTGCCGTATCGGCCGAGATCGAAACTTTGCAATCTCGCTCAACACAATTGAATGCAATGCTAGAGAACAGGCGCAACGTGGAACGGTTGCTGGGACCCGCCGTGGAAGAGATCAGCATCTCCCCTAAGGCTGTGCGGACAATTGTCGAGGGCCCGATTGATGAGAATTGGGTGCGTGCACTGAACGAGATCGATTCCCGAACAATGAATATCGAAGCCAAGGCCGCCGCTTCCTCCAATGGCTATAAAGCCGTCGAGGATGTACGACCCCTTTTGACCGACGTGAAGACCAAAGTGAGTATTCTGCGCTCCTCAGAATTATATAGATCTGTATTGACATCTATACAGGCAGTTCAAAGGATTAGAGACTATCTTGTGTCACAGATTCGTGCTATGCGATCGCCAAACATCAACTCTCAGATTATCCAACAACAGCGACTGGTGAAGTTCAAAGATCTATACAGTTATCTCTCAAAGGTCCACCCGAAGCTGGCAGGAGAGATTTCGCAGGCGTACATCAACACAATGCGCTGGTATTACACATCTCATTTCACACGCTACCTTCAAGCACTCGATAAAGTCAAAGTTTATCCTCCTGACCGTAACGAGGTGCTTGGAGGCGATCCATCTACACATCGATCAGGTAAGAGCTATGCTTTTCTGATACCACCTATATACTGATTATTTCAGGGAACATGATGCCTGGCGGCCGAGCTGGCTCTGCCGTGCATGACCCTTTCTCCCTGGGTAGACGTATTGACGTCCTCCGAACTGGCAACCTCCAGGCGTTATCCTCATACCTGGCCGAAGAGGATAATACTTACCATGGAATCGAAGTTCCATTCCGAAACTTCAACCTCGCATTGGTGGATAATGTGTGCGCCGAGTACTCTTTCCTGACTGAGTTTTTCTCCCCAAAGACCTTCCATCAAATCTCTCGCAATGCCGTGGAAATATTCCAGCAAGTCTTTACCCTTGGTCAGAACCAGACCAAGAAGTTAATCGAGCACACCACGGATTCTCTAGGTGTCCTCATGTGTGTTCGCCTCAACCAGCATTCCGCGTTTGAGCTTCAGCGCCGAAAGGTGCCCGTCGCCGACTCGTATGTTAATGGTACCAACATGCAGCTCTGGCCGCGTTTCCAGGTAATTATGGATCAGCACGGCGACTCGCTCAAGCGGGTTGGGTCCAACACTGGGCGCAGTGCTGTCTCAGCCCTTTCGATCGCGGGCGGAGACGACTTGAAGCAGTCTTCAGCACCTCACTTTTTGACTCAACGATTTGGACAGCTTCTTCATGGAATCCTGGTGCTCAGCAGCGATGCTGGTGACGATGAGCCGGTATCTAATAGTCTGGCCCGGTTGTCTGCTGAATTCGATTCTCTTTTGGCAAAGTTGAGTCGCAACGGCACAGACGCCAAGCGAAGAGAGCGATTCCTCTTCAACAATTATTCATTGATTTTAACCATCATTAGCGTATGTTGCAGTCTCTGTGTTTTGGGGACGCGCGCTAATCGGAAACAGGATACCCAAGGCAAATTAGCAGTTGAGCAGAAGCAGGTAAGCATTTGAAACGTGTGTCTATTAGAGATCATATGACTAACTTGGCTTGCAGCATTTGGAAGAGATGCTCAAGAATAGTAGCAGCACCAAGCGGTAGGAAGCGATTGCATACATCGGACAGATGCACATTCCATGTGGAATAACAACGTAATGCATTTAGATATCCTTTCACATATAAATATTTTAATTGACGTGTATACTTATCCAGACACCTGCAGGGCTCTGGTATGCAACTTCGCATCTTCATTGGCATAACTAGATACCCCTGGACAAGACAAACCACAGCCAAGGGTGGTATACTGTCTCATCATCGACCGGGTCCAAAACAGTTGGCAGGTATCTCGTATTCCATTCTTCATCCAAGTCTTCATCAAAATATTTCGGATTCGGTCTGACGCGACGCGCCTTGCAATACTCCCAGTAAGCAGGATACCACCCTGCCTGGCCCCAATCACTGATGGCAGCTACTACTGGATTCGCCCCGGGCGATAAGAGGATATTTGGGGGCACAAGGTCATCATGCGTGAAAACCACGGGCACCTTCCCATCAATCTCGATATCGCAGCCATCCTGAAATTTCTGGACGGCGTCTGCACCATAGAATGGGCCATGTAGATAAATACTTGGCCACCATCTTCGGTCCACCCAAACACCTCGGGGACTGGTACTTTGCCTTTCAACTGCTTGTATACCATAATTTGGGTCTCTGCCTCTGTAACAGTTGTGTCGGCTCTATATTTGACAATCAGGTCCAACGATGGAAACTTGACAGGCGGGGGTCGGTTGAACATTGTACCACGGATGTTGCCTGACTCCTTGTTGATGGCTCTCACCTCGGCCGGGGTAGGGAGTGTAGACGCCGGGTGTTCCCTGAAAAAGCTAGAGTCGGAAATGGTCCTTATTGTGTTGTGGCTTGAATCGTGGAGGCCTGCCTCGCCTTCAATTCCCTCGGGCGTCATCTTCGAGATAACACAGGTGAAGCAGACATATGCCTATATATTACGAAGATACAATATCATCTGAATTGGCATGCTCTTGAAATAACAGAACTGTCATGTGATCCATCACCCCTCAACTTCCCTACCACAGCCCCCGGGGGGCTGGATGACTCACAAATAGAAGTATGCCCTTTATTTTGTATTTTATTCCAAGTAGATAACCTTCGAAGCCCCGTTCTACCTAAGTGAAAAGATTATCTTCTATGTTTGATCTGCCATTTATCTGATCTTTTGACACTTAGATCTCCTAGGTAGCAATCATCGCACACGGACACGACAAGATGGTAGCCACCACAAGCATTCCTGTGACCATTCCAAAAGATGGCTCACTGCCCAAGTCCATGATCCAAGACATTATCGGTACATTTCTCACCAACGAGTGGCCAAACACGGACCCAGAAACGCTCATTGTGACACGCAATACTGGATACGCAAACACAAACTGTGTAGTGGAACGACCTCAGCCAAAGAACGACACACATTCCGAGCCTCTCAAAGTATTCCTCAAGCTCCACGGCGAACTCGATGGAGAAATCGAGGTGTTCAAACACTTAGTCCCGAGCAAACACGAAGAGGCACAACTATGCCATGATTACGCTCAATCCGGTCTTGGTGCCAAAGTGTATGGTTTCTTCCAGACAAAGGATGGCACTTTCGGAAGGATCGACGAGTTCTTAAATGCACGCACTTTGAAACCAGCAGATGTGGAAGATGCACATATCCGAGCTGATGTTGCGAGAGAACATGCCGTTTTTCATACCATGTTCACACAACGAGAGAAGAAGCCGGTTCAGTTATATTACGATGCAGTGATCAGAGAGCTTGAAAGATATCACAAGATGGAGAAGCTAAAGAGGCTTGCCAGAGAAGGAGGTGTCAATATGGATGATCTTGTTGACTATGACTTCGTGTCTAGAATAAGACGAGTGACGAACAGACTGGAATCCATCGGAGGGAAAAAGGGATGGTGCATCCACGATGTTCAATTCATGAATGCGATGGTGAAGGACAGTACCAAGGAAGGAGAAAGAAAGATCGTGCTTATAGATTTTGAATTCGTCTTTCAAAATTACCGAGGGTTTGATATTGGTGGACACTTTTTGCAAAAGATGTTCCAGTGGTTTGATGAGGAGAACAAGATTGCAACCTGTCGACCTTATACGGAAGAGGAGAAGAGGCATTTTTGCGAGGAATATGCAAAGCAATGGGACGAGGAGACGGGTGATTCGGATACAGGGGAACAGGTTTTTATGGAATCTGAGCTGGGATTCATGCTGGCTATCACGTTCGAAATCCATAACATGCTTTGTTTTATGGATCAGGATGATGATAAAGACCCGTTGAGCATATTGGGGCTGAACAAGCTGTTTGAGGAGTTTGTTAATCAGTATAAGAAGCTGGGACTAGGGAGTTGAGAGGGCTTCGGCCAATGCAGTATCAGCACTCCCTTGGGATAAAATTCATGCTCTTCCGCATGTTTCGGATATTGAAGGCTCATCGGCGCGGTGACACAACTTCGATTTAAGTAGCAGCGAGTGTCTGTCTGTTGTTACCACAGCCTGCTTCAAGTCAATAGAGTATGAAGTATAGACAAAAAGACAACCCTGTCCTCCCAACCAACAGCAAAGTACAAAAATCCGTTGAGGACGTACCCTACAATCCATCAAATAAAGAATCCGGGTCCATATCCCAGTAAGATCAGATCCTTTCCCAAGCATAGACATCCCCTCAATCCGGGGTAAACCCTAAGCACGCAGCTGCATATCCGGTGTGACGCATATGCATCCCTCTCCTATACTCCTCAAGACACAATGTGCCATAATACCGTATCCCACGAATAATTCACCCCAATTGACCAGAATCATACAGCCCATCTGTAGTATCCGCCCGGGACCAATTACCGCTCTTACCGCAGCGGTCAAGACGTTATCCAGCACATGTGTCTCGACGGGTCGAATTGGACGCCTCATTTGACAGCTCTGACAGCCCCCAATTAAACTATCGGCTGTATCCCGGCTCTGCGTGACCTGACTTTGATGTTTCTGATTTGGGAATTGCTTCTTTTTAGCTTGGCGGGTGCCGCGGGGAAGGGAGAGGTGAGTTGATTGGGGGTTCTTGGTGCGAGACTGTTGCTTTCTTTTTGGCTTCGTTTCGCTTTTTCCGAGGAGTTTGGTCAGCCGTTGGGGAAGAGACTTTTCGCTTTTGGGTTTAGTATGTCTGGGATATCGGTTCTGACAGGTACCCGGGTGTTTTGACCGTCTAGATGGCGCAGGAGGCCCCTCATGAGATGTTCAAGACATCCATTGAGATGGTAGCTGCAATAAGAAATGGCACTTTGATGATCAATCAAGATCGATCCAGATCTATACAAGATCCATGACTGCTGAAGTCCAGGACGAACCCCTGCACTGATCTCCGCGGGGTTCTCCCGATTTGGCGCAAATGTGAATGTAAATCCCATATCTGGGGACTCAGAAGAGTTGAAGACACGAGAAATCACATAGATAGTGATCTCCCATATTAGGGAGTCGAATGCAAGCCCACATTGGATTGTAAATGTCAATCAATATACTTCGTCCGAAGTGGGCGTTTGAATATCGCATGGGGCGGTTTGGTAAGACCGTTTGAGAAAATCTCCCTTATTTCATAAGCTTCCATAAGCTATATATACTGCTTTCATCATCTTGCTTCCGCCTCTTTCCATTGAAAAAGATTTTGACATCTTGATCAACCTTTCTTTTCTCTTCCCTCCTCATAACAACACATCCCACCTTCAATCATGGCTACCTCCATCCCCAAGACCATGCGTGCTCTGCAGTACACAGAGCCCAAGAAGCACAAGATCGTCGAGGTCCCCGTGCCCGAGATCCGCGAGAACGATGTCCTGGTATGGAAGCCATCCATCAATTTGCAGGGAAGCGAACTGACCAGCCTCTCATCAGATCAAGGTCAAGGCCTGTGGCGTTTGTGGCACTGATCTTCACATCCACGAGGGTGAATTCATTGCCAAGGTAAGTATTCCCACTATAAGCACTCATCGTGCATTGGTGTGCTGACTAGTTTATTCAGTTCCCTTTGATCCCCGGCCACGAAACCGTCGGCGTAGTCGCCGCGATTGGACCCAAGGTCAAAGACTTCGAGATCGGCGAGCGAGTCGTCGCCGATAACTCCGAGCTGTGCGGAACATGCTTCTACTGCCGTCGTGGCGATGAGCTGTTCTGTGAGCACTTCGAGGCTCACGGTGTGACGATGAATGGTGGCTTTGCTGAGTACTGCGCCTACCCTGGTAAGTAGAGCAAGGGAATATCAAAAGCGTACCTGGGCTCTTAATACTGATTTGTAATTTTCTTTTCAGCCGGTAGAGTCTTCAAGATCAGGAACCTTTCTGACATCGACGCAACTCTTCTCGAGCCCGCCTCCTGCGCTGCCCACGGTCTGGACAAGATCGCCCCGAAGATGGGCTCGTCCGTTCTGATCTTCGGTGCTGGTCCTACTGGTCTGGTGCTGGCTCAGATGCTGCGCCAGAACGGCGGTTGCAATGTTGTTGTTGTTGCTCCTGGTGGTTTGAAGATGGATTTGGCTCAGAAGCTTGGCGCTGGTGATAAGTACATTGAGCTGTCGCGTGAGGCTCCCCAGGCTCAGTTCGATGCTCTCAAGGCTGAGAATCCTTATGGATTCGACATTGTTGTTGAGGCTACTGGTAGCCAGAAGATCCTTGAGGACTCGATTAACTATGTTCGTCGGGGTGGTAAGTTGGTGGTGTATGGCGTGTACTCGAGTGAGGTTCGGGTTTCGTGGTCGCCGGCTAAGATCTGTGAGTGTTCTTGTTCCTTTTTCCGCAGTCTTGAGTTCCTTGCTGATTGTCCTTCTAGTCGGTGATGAAATCACTATCCTCGGCAGTTTCTCTGAGACTTACAAGTTCCCTGCCGCTGTTGACTATCTTGACTCGGGCAAGGTTAAGGTGGACGGTATTGTGAACAAGGTGTACAAGATTGAGCAGTGGGAGGAGTGTCTTGAGGCTATGCGCAACAAGACCGCTATCAAGGTTGCCATCACCTTCGATTAGATTTGGATATGTAAATTCCATCACACAAGATACGTTTTCATAAAGGATAGTTAGTTAATAGACTTGACTCTTCCTGGAACCATGGGGGCACATTGATTTTATATGTACTTGAAAGTGAGGACCTTGATAGACCAATACGGTACTTTTGAGATTAATAATTGGGATAATCCCATCTCCTGTTATTTTCTTGCAGACTGAGCGCTTCTTTATAAGCCCCCTGCTTTCCCATGGGTTGGATATCAAGATTCTTCCTCTGCTTTCTCCTCTCCGTAGCTGTCCTTTCAGAATAATCGGAAGCAAGATGTTATTGCTACTAGAAGTACAGTTGTAGAATATATTGCTTTAGATAGCACAGTACGGGTAGTATTTTTACAAATGAATACTATATTAATTTTTAAAAAAACAGTGCTCTATGCACTCCTAACTCTCAAGTCTTAACTCTCAACTCTCAATTTCTTACTATCTTAGTATCTTAGTATCTCAGTATGTAGTAGGTCCCCTATTAGCAGCAATCACTGCCTGGCACTCAATAGCATACTATCGATCAGTGTTACAACCTGCCCCTGGACTGGCGAGTTGCACACTAGGCCAAAAGACCATTATATCTGAGCATTACCCTCAGATAGACCAGATTCCGGTATATATATATAGTGTATGACATGAAAATCAGATCAGATAGGAATTATTCCGGTACAGTGTCCTAGGCCTCCTAAACCACACCACGATGCTTCGATAAAGGGACTTGCTGATCCCTATACTTTCTCCCAATATAATCTTTCATCTATTAATAGGGTTTAAATTAGGTAAAAAGGTAGGCCATTCTATCACAATAACCCTAAGCCCCTCGAAGAAATCAAGAGTCTCTTTAGTAGTATGCCTGGGAGTATTATCGTATATAACAATCGGATCTTACCCCTTTCTTAGACGGAAGAAGCCTTCTATATATAGGTATATGGAATTATAAAGTAAGTTGAATCTGAATTGAATCTGAATTGTATTGTAGAGAGGGTAGTTGAAGTGGGGAATCTTTATAGGGTACATAGACTGTTGTAACGTATTTCACTACCGAATGGATCAATTTGATATTTCGTATACTTGCTTATTTGCTTGTTTGTTACAGACTGAGCTCTTGTTCAGATAGTTTTTTTAAGGGTATATAACCCTTGATTTGCTAGTTTCAATAGATTATGATTCTTCTTCTGCTTTCTCCCTACTGTGGTATTTACTATCACAGATATTGCACTCAGACGTACTTCGTACCAACGATATATACGACTATATAAGACTGTATATATATATACACACATATATATATAGTTATCGAGTCTCCGCGAAGCATTTGATATTTGCGTCTCGGTGTTCAAAAGAATACTCACCGGTGGTTGGAAAGAAAGCATTGCGTATCTTCAAAAAGGCTCAGTTGAAATTATTGCAGAGAGCTGGAACATCGAAGCTTTCTTGGTTGTGCATATATATAATGTATACAGAAAAGAGGAAAGGAAGTCGAAAATGGTGTATGTTGTACTTCGTCCGGCGTCTTCGCATACCGTAACCAATTTAAAGTGGGATACACTGTTGGCGTAGTTATATACCCCCATCAACCCAACTACCTGCTAACGCAAAATCTAAACTAAGTACCTTTTGTATCTGTAAGTCATACAAAAGATACTTAATTTCTAGATTTTGTATTTGCTGGGAATTTTGCGTTAGCACAACCGGTTCCCGGTTGTTAGGCGCGCGACTAAATATGCCATCCGACATATAACTCTCTCATTGGTTATTACCTCACCGCCTAGTTCATTATTGCCTTCTTGAAGCATTTACTAATTTTAACTTCTCTTTTATTTGTATACTATACACTTTATAGATTCAATTCAGATCCAATTCAGATCCAGTTCAGATTCGGTTAGTAAGATAGTAAGATAGTAAGAAATCAAGAGTCAAGACTTAACACTTAGGAGTATAAAAAGTCCGGTGTTAAAAATTAATATCGTATTTGTTAAACAATCTCCTATATATATATATATATATATGTTTGCTATAGACTAAGCCCTATTTGTTCGTTATTTACTATTTGTTAGCTTGTTTACTATAACGGTTTTAGCAGGGTAGATAACCCCCTGCATTTCTAGTTTAATCAATTAATAATTCTGCCTCTGCTTTCTCCCCATATAGTAACAGGTTACTCAATAGTATACATCTATAAAACATACTATATAAAGTAACTATAGATTCAACAATGGTACTTGTGAAGTGAGAGTGGATCTAAATTATTGCCTGGCAATATAAACCAATGATAGAGTTATACGCTTAGCACGGCTAACCAGGTGCCCTACTTCGTCATCAGCG